TTACGATATAAAAACAAAAATTTAACCATGAACATACCTTGAACGCGCGGCACACTGCAGTTCGCAAGTCAGTGCGGGCATCGTCATTACGCTCACCATTAATGTAAATCAACGGGTCGTTATCTAGTAATATGACATTTTAAAATTTTTGAATATGTTAAAAAACAAAGCACGTAATGTACAATAGAAAAAGTTCGTTTGTGGACAATTAACATTAGCTGCCCATTGAAATGTCCCCAAATAAACTTTTTCTATTGTACACTACAACTAATAGGCTGCCTTTTTATCAATTACGTACCCTTATTGAGCTCCTCAAACATGGTGATCACGTTGGTGGCCGATATAGCCTCGTCCAAGAAAGACCGTCCAATGTCGTTATCCGTTTTGGCACAGATTTCCAGGTTGAAAGCGTCATCGGGCTCGTCATTGACCTCGTTCGAACATGTTGCGATATTTTTGAGGGGGTCGGTGGTCCAATCGGCCTCCTGGGTGGTGCACAGGATCATGTAGAACTCGTGGTGGTTGTGGTGCAAATTACCCGTGTAATGGCTCATGCAAGCCTACTCAAAAATAATTGTCATTGATCGATTAGTCATGAGTCTGTACGCCTATTTTGTGGCTACTGTACTTAGTTGACCACGCTAAATATTCGGTCAAATTTTAATTTAGTCTTTCTCTCCCTCCCTCCCTCTCTCTCTCTCTCTCTCTCTCTCTCTCATCACTTACGTGAAGTCTTGTGCCTACACAATCCGCATCCTTTTCAGCATTTTCAGTATTACTACAATCATATACGAGTTTGTTATCCTCGACCTTTCGGACGTTCCTACCCCAGGGTACAAAATCGACCTCCACCTTGTATTTGACCTCGGTCTCTGACCCCTCTTTCGGCATCATAAGGGCATAGATACCTTTATCGCTGTCTATTTTGTTGAGTCTAATAAAGTCAATGGCCTTCTGACTGAACGGTGTGTAGAACACCTGCACCCTAACCACGGGTGTGTTAGCATCATCGGCCAGTGTCTATGAAAATTCAGTAGCATGGTATATTTAAAAACATTTGAATATCACATTAACTAATTTATTAAATAAGTTTTTGTTAATCCATATATTATATTCCTAATGTAATATATTCTAATTTTTATTATATTTATATATGAACTAGTTATATTAAAAATGATTTTCAAAAATTACAAATAATTACCTGTGGTTTGAACTCAAACACAGCACATGTGCTCAATATAATTGTTAAAACAATTAGTAAATTCATTATAAAATTTAAAATAAATTAATTTTTTAAAAAATCAAAGTTGCTAGTTTCTGAATTATATAGACTTTTTAAAACTCTATTCCAATGGGAGACTAAACACAAACTGATGGAAATATTACACAAAATATGAGTTTTTAATTAAAATGTTTAAAATAATAGATTTTTCTTGTTGAGCGATATTTATATGCCAAGTTTTATTAAATGAACATAAAATATAAAGATAATTTTTTATGGACAAACATTATCTGATAAAATTGTCATTTGCCTAAAAAACATGTTTAGGCATGTTCGACTTTCCAAAGTTATTCCCATCCCATAT